TCCCCTATCGCCAGTGTTATTCAATTACATCGTAGATTGAATAATGCGACACGCACTCATCGTCTACCCCGGATTGCAGACCTCGAGTTTGCGGATAATGTCGTCGTAATTGGAGACACTACGGACAACCTCCAGGCTGTTGCCAGTCGTATAAAACAGCTTGCCCAGGCCATTGGGCTAGAGACTAACACATCAGAAACCAAGACACTTTCGATCGAGACTTCTTCCAAGACACAACCCATCTCGATTAACGGGGAGCTCGTTGAATCAACCGAAGTTTTCAAGTATCTTGGCTCCAGAATCAGACCAAACGGCGAGACTCGGGATGAAATCCAACTTCGTGTAGATGGAGCTAGAAGAGCCTTCCTGCAACTCTTTAGACCGTTGGGGGATCAATACCAAATAAGCTCGAACACTGAGCTTCGGGTTTATCGGACTTCCATCCGCCCCATCCTCACTTATGGTTGAGAAACCTGGCCGCTTAGAATACAAAATACAAAGAAGCTCGAGGTCTTTGAACATTGGTGCTTACGACGCATCTCGAAAGTACATTGGAGAACTCAGATTTCTAATAATGAGGTCCAACGGCGCTGCTTGAACATCAACAGGCTTTCGAAAATGCTACAACGCCGGCGCCATCAGTGGTTTGACCACGTGCTCTGAAAGCCCGACACTCAACTCTCGCAACAGGCTGTAGCCCCCGTACCGTGCCGTGGGTGGCATTGCCGACTCGGTGGTCAATGGAAGATCTGGAGAAGTACGACCAAGTCGAACTTGGAATTTTACTGGGTCTCCAATACGTATATGGAACTCGTAACTGGAACCAGAACTGGGTCTCACTGCATCAACCGTGCTGCTGATCGTTATGCATGGGCCGTCATCATTAGAGACATCCAAGAAGCCGATTTATCCTTCCGCAGGTGTTAGTCTCTCATTGTGGTAGTCGCTGGAGACTTCAATGCTCAAATGGGATCCCTGGACGAATCAGAGAGGATACTTGGAGGTTCGCATGCAATCCCAGCCAACAGGACTGACAACGGAGAA